CCCCCGGCCCGCCGTGTGCGTGGGAGGCGCCGGGCCCGCTCGGACGAACGCCGACGCGCTCAATGCCCAGGGTGAGGGGGCCGCGGCGGGGAGGAGCTGGGGGGCGCCGGGTGAGGTCCGAGCCCCCGCCCCGGGGCGGGCCCGACGACGGCACGGGGGGCCGGGGGGTTCCCCCGGGCCTCGAGAGGCCCTTACGGCCTAAGCGGGCGGTTTAGGGGTGCCCTTCGTGGCCTCGTGGGTCCCCCGGCCTGTACGCGTGGGTTTCAGGGGCGGCTTTCTTGCTTTGAGGGCTCCCTGTGGTCTCTGTGAATGGTTTTGGGGGGCCCTTCCTGGTTTGGGGCATCCCCTTGGCCTGCACCCGTGGTTGGGGTGTTGTTCTTCCTGCTTTGGGGCATCCCCTTGGCCTGCAGGGCTGTTTTGGGAGGGTTTCCTGGCATTAGGAGGGTTCTTCCTGTTTTGAGGGGTGCTTCCTGGTTGGGGGGGTTTCCTGTTCGCTCTGGCACAACGGGCTGCTTTGAGAAGGTCCTTCGTGGTCTAGGGAGCCTGTGGGGCAGGTTTGGAGGGGCCTTTCTGCTTTGGGGGGTTCTCTCTGGTTTGGGAGCCTGGTTTGGGGCGTCCTTCATGGCCTAGGAGGTTCCCTTTAGCACAAGGGGCTGCTCTGGGGAGTCTTTTCTGCGCCTGGGGTTTTGATCTGGCCTGTGGGGCTGGCTTGGTTGATCCTTCCTGGCCCGAGCAGGTTCCCCTGGCTCATGGGGCTGGTTTGGGGTGATTTGGGGGAGAGTCCTGCTTGTATCTGAGATGGGATGGGGGGGTTTCGGAAAGGATTATTTGAGAGGAGGAGGAAAAGGAGGAGGTCCTTTATCCTGCTGTGTGGAGTGAACTGAGGAGAGTCTCTTTACCCTAGAGATGTAGGAACTCGTGTAGGAGAGGATGAACATTGCAGGTGTGTTTGGGGAAAGGGCTCCTTTGTGCTTGGCCCAGGGGATGTCCATAAAAGATAGAAAGATCTTTCAGGGGTCTAAGCTGGAAGGTGGGGAAGGGAAGTGGTGTTATGGGGCTGGAGAGGGTGGCCAGGATGTGGTGGTTTTCCTGGGGTTTGAGTGGAGGCAGGGCTGTGAGGAGGCCGGTTGGTGTCCGTACAAGGCTGCCCCGCGGGATTTGAAGATGCCGCCTTCGAAGCGGGGAGTTCAGGAAGTCTGGCCAGAGCGGGAGCGAAGGAGAGCGCTGGTGTTGCTGAAGGAAGTACTGTAAGAGTGACCGAAGGAAGGCCCGAGATGGACCCTGCTAGGGAGCTGCGTATCCACTGGATGGGGCTGGGGGTTGCCTGGAAAGGGGAAACTTTGATGCAGAAACCTGGTTATTAAGAGCCGGAGTTCCTGGCTATGAGGTGCAGCAGAGGGAGCAGGCTGGGAGCTGTTGCTGCATGGGGATTGTCAGAGAAGTGGCCTCCGCTCTGCTCAGGCAATGATTCCTCGTGGTTCTTTGGTGTGATTAGTCACAATCTCCTTTTTCTCTCAGGGTGCTGTGTGCTTTCAGTATGAGAGGAGTAAGGCAGAAAGTTGGCTTTTAAAGGCTACTGTATAAATGGAAATGAGCTTCAAAACCCCCAGAATGAAACTGCCAGGTTCTGACTCAGAACTGCAGCTAGTATTTAAAGAAGAAAAAAGATAAACCCACCACCGGCAACAACCAGAAAACTCTCTCCTTATGACTCAACATATATAAATGCTTTAACTTTAATGAACTCAACTGCTGGAAAGAAGCTCTGTGTCTCAGTTTGTGAGTTAAGGTAGGAGTAAATATCCGTGTATGTACAGATGCACAGCCAGGAATGTAGGTGGCTCTTGTTACAGATGTATGCAAAAACATTACAAAAACATAGAGCATTGCTTTCAGAAGTCATTACCTGTAAATACCCATCTTTGTCTTTGACACGGTACTGCTTGAACGTTCTTCCTGTATCAGAGCAGAGGTGACCTGTGAACGCGGCGCGTTTCGTCGCTCTCGTGCTGCACTTTGCCCTGTTCTGGAATGTTGTCACTGTTGTGAGGCCTCCGAGGGCGACGGAGCGATGCGCAGGCCCGGCGGGGACTGCGCCACGTGTTGTTCGTGTAAAGGCACGTTTCTGTTCCTGCTTTAACTGAGCCCATCCATAGCTGGAAGCACAGCTCTTCGGATACTGTAGTGCTGTCAGAAAACTTCTGTAGAATGTTGCAGGTTGTGTAATTTTGCTAGTACCTTTAGAAGATAAAATGTCAGTGAAACACTGCCAATGAAGTAAGAGAGAGGAGCTATCCTTGCTAGGTATTGTCTGTTGTGATGGATTAATTTGAAAGTTTATTTGCCTGTGAAAGAGTTGAAGGTTTATAATTGCTCTGTCTAAACCTTGAAAAATAGACCTAATGGCCTGAGAATTTAGGGTAGAAGTTTCTCTCTGACACAAGTGAATTACAGTGCTAGATCAGGCAGGCATCTATTCAGGGCAGGAGCTAACTGATGTATATCATAAGAGTATAAAATCTCTTTATAGTGGCTGTTAGCTGCAGTATTACGTTACGCCTTTTTGAACTAATTGTGAGGGGACACAGGAGTCTTAAATCTCTTGATCCCTTTGTGTGTTATAGCACTTGAGACATTGGATTGCTGTCTCTATTCAGGTCACCCTCATGTGCACCTTTGTTTTGTGACCCCTTGTTTCTCTCTTTTCTGTAATAAAAAAGCAATGTTTTTTCCCTGTCTCTTACGCTGCCAGTCTAGCTATTCTTGAAACAGTTGTCCCTGAATTTTAACAATTGCGACTTTGTGGACACGCGGTGAAATTTATCAGTCAGCTTAAGTTTCAGCGGTGAAACTGACTTTAACTGCCCCAGGAGCATGGAAAAGAAGCCAACTCTCCACTAAGTCATTTTTCCGGCAGAGCTACATGGCAAATTCAAAGAGCTGAGATGAGTAAGATGAAAGTAATTCAACTCTAACTTAATTGAATATCATCCCTGTTGCTATGTGATTTGAAATTGCCTTTAAGTCCTGCTTGACTTGTTAATGATTTTTTTCATCTTCATCTTAAATGTGAGAAGAATATTTAGTCTGAGTTGTCAGGGAATATGATTATCCAGATTACATTTTCAAAAGCCAGCAGTTGATACAATTTAGACAACTCGACATTCTGATTTTTAGGAATGAGTTGTTATCATCACTCACATAATCATAAAATGTTTTCTGAAGTAACTTCTCTAACTTTCTTTTAATTACATGTATTTAAAGTCAGATTTAATTCTGTGACTTAATACAGTAATAAGCTTTAAATTCTTGTTTCTTAGAAGGCCTCTTGGTTTTTACTGTTCAAACAGTTATAGCTTCAAGAACTTTATTTTTTTGGCTGTGGTATGTAAATGACATTCAAATGTGTCTTCCTTCTAAAGATTTTTAATTTTTTTAACCTAAATGGTGGCTGAGGAAAGTGTTTGATAAACATCTAATCAGCATTTTAAGTTGCAAAGTGGTTCTTTCTCACAGAAAAGTCTGTAGCATAAAACACACATACCTATCAAAAAAATTTGAAAGAGTTAGTAGAGTATCTAATAACTTTCCCCCAGTGAACTTGCCAGGATGATGTTCTCTGTGCGTTGATGCCCGTGTTGATGATTTAATGGCTTGACCTCACCCAAAGGAAGGCCGATAACTTTTGAAGTACTCAAAGGAGTTTTGATGCGCGATTGCTCTCTTGCAGAGTAGTCTCACTAGGTCTGTTTGACAGCTCTTTATTCTTTCCTGATGTTTCGCTTTTAAATTGGGATTTAAAAGAAAAATAAATAAATAAACCTCTTCCTGAGGCAGGTTTGTATCCGCTGCTGCTGACTTTAAGGCCTAGGCCAGAGTGACTAGGTTAGTGAAAAGGAAACGGATGAGTCACCACAGAACTTGTCAGCAAACTGGGAGGGAGCTGGGAGGCGGGGGTGGACTGGGTGGAACAGCAGAGTTTTTGACCTCACCCCTCTCTGGGCACGTGTCACTCTGAACAAGCTTCCTTCAGAGATTGAACAATATTCTTCTGATTTTCCCAAGAATGTTAGTCACAGAATTTGTCCTCCATATACAGAGAAAGCACATTTTGGCCTTGGTTGTTAATAATACCGCGTTTCTGATGTGTCAGGTTGACTAATTTTGGAGGTCTTGATGGATTCTCTCACTTGCAGAGTGCCTTTGCTTCCGAAGCAGCAGCTCCTCAAGACCTTCCTGACAGCATTGATGGAACAGAGCTCCTTTAGCAGGATGATGCAGGAAAAGGAAGTGGAATGTAATGTGCTCAAAATGTCAGGAAGAGTCTAGCTGGGCTGCAGGGCAATACTAGAATTGTAACTTTTGTAGGGTCAGGTTTTAAACTGCCTCATGCACTGTCACACTATTTTTTGTGTATAGATACACAGCACAAGAAGGAGATTTTATAGAAAAGGAAAAGTAGAAAAAATCAGCAGCTGAGTAACTTCATTAACATATCACGTGTAGATTTCCAGTTACATGAACAAAATTAGTTGAGGCAGTTTGAAAATACTGTTCTTAAAGCACTGCAGTATTCTTTTAATATTGACTGACAAATTAGCAGGCTTTGCTTTGCATCCTGTACACTGGCTTATTTTGAAAGGTGATCCAAATGCCCTTTGCAAAGGTATCTCAGTTTTGCAATCTTTGGAAGCTGCAGCTGTTGCAGGCTGTTGGGCTGTCTTGATGAAGCAAAGGAAGCACTTGGAAATGTGTGTTTTGAAGGATCAATACAGAAGAGTAAGTGGTTTGCCTAATTTCAGTGTTGTATTTAGAAGCTAGTCCAGTGCTAGGCTAGGTGGGTGTTATAGGTGTGTTGCTTTTATATTTAAGGCTAATGGCTAAGCTTCTGACAAGTCAGGAATTCATTTAACTGTTTTCTCTAAGTAGCGCAAACAAACAGATGGGGTAATTGACAGAAGGCCTGTCCCTTGCTTACATTTTAAGCACATTCCTGCCACATTCCTGGTATTTGGAATGCCATTCTTCTCAGATTGGCCTCACTGGGCTTTATCAAGTAAGTGTGAAGGGAGGGGAGGCCGCTGCTCACGGTGCTGCCTGGGTTGAATAGTCTTCTCCATAGGTGCAGGGGCTGTCACAGTTCACCAGACCTGAATGTGTAGATAGGCATCTTGATTGGTTGTCAGAAACCAATTCTCAAGCATATCTCGTTCTTTCTAATGCAAGGATTGTTATTGCTCGACTTGTTTGTGCTGCTGTCTCTGTTTTTTTCTCCTCCTCTGGTTTCTAATGAAGTAATTGCAGCTCGTTTGTAGTGCTGATGTGTTAGATACTTATGCTCCCTTGCTGAGGCCAACCAAATAAGCCATGTAGTAATTTTTTGGTTTCTCTCCATGTTCTATCTCGCTTTCTAAGTTAAAGAAAAAAAAAGAAGATTAATTGGCTGAAAAAACATTTCTTGTTTCATATTATACATACACATAACTACTATTTATCATAATTGGTCCTAACAAGTGCTCTGTTTTCTTGGGATTTTTAAATACAAATTTACATTGCTAACCGTAACAGGGAGGAAGAAATTTGGAGTATTTGCTTGGGGAGATCAGAAGCTGTAGACGACTTGAGTTTTTCCTGTTTTTCACTTTCATAATTTAAAACTTGATTTTTCCCATTTAGCTCCATGGTGTGTAGCAGCTGAAGGTCATGGGAGTAAGGAACATATGTGTCATTAACCAAATTGTTTTTAAAATAGAATTATGTGCTACATAAACTTCTAAGAGTTTTATCCTTCGAGAAATCTTCCCTTTTTATGCTTGAAATAAGTGTTTTACATTTTTAATCACTTCTGAGCTATTAGCTAATTAAACACTCTAGTAATATTCCCGAGGGGAAGGTAAGGTGGTGTCATTCCATGGAGCTGCCGAAGGGACTCGGCCAAGGCTGCACCCTGCACGGTCACCAAACGGTGGCCGGGGCTCCCATGGCCATTCTTGGTTTACTGGAACACGCTGCCTGCCTGTGTCCTTTATTCATGACCTGGTGAATTTACAAAACAGCTTAAAAATAATTAAATAGAAAGTAACTCTTTAGCTTGAGAGAAGAAAAGTGCAGCCTTAATGGCCGTGTTTGGTGCAGCGCACAGTGTAGACAGCGCTGAATGAGGCCCTTGCAATCAAATGATCAGCGCTGAAAGGGAAAACAGTTAAACAAGTTGTTCAAATATAACAGAATTGTTCTTCCCCCTTGAGACTGTGAGCTTTGGCAATGCTGTGAAGCTCTGGTGCTCTGGATCCAAGTTTGAATCTCCTATGCCAAGATCTCTTGCCCGCTAATTTTGTTTTAAATGGCTTTCTTAAGTGCTGTGCTTTTGAGAACCTGGTCCTTTGACTCTTCCTTTGGAATGAAAGTCTTTGCAGTGACGGAGTGTGCGTTTCAATGGGAGGTGGGAAAGAAAACTGTCTGAAAGCTGGCTTTCTTATGTAAAAATTCACAGGTCCTAGGCACATGTGGATGCTGTAGCTGGAGTTATTCTGTTCTTGGTACAACATAGCAACAACAGACTGTAATGCATTTTAACAAATCCTTTCCTTTGAGCTACTCTAGCATGTATGAGAAAAAGTTGACAAATGTGCAAGAATTGACAAATGTAGGGGTTTGAATCCACACGTTTAGATGGAACTCTTCCATCTGGGGTGAGACTTAATCCTATAATCATTAAACTGATAAAATATTCTGAAATTCATTTTTGAAACTTGTATTTTAGTTGCTCAGAGTAAGAACTGTGTTAAGGTCAGGAGAAGTTATTGAAAACCTTTGTTCTTGCCTATGGCAACCTAATTAATGTATTTTTTGGCATTGAAACATGTTCTTTAAGGCAATAATTGCTGTTCTTTGGGTGATTTTTTTCCACTTTGTGGCTGTGAAAAAGATAATTTTGTAGTTCTTAATTTGACTATTTTAAAATGAGGATCTCATTAAAATTCTTTGGGTGACAAAAGTTTGAGGAGTAAACTTCAAGGCATGTGTGTGTTTTTTTTTTTTTTCTTTTTTTTTCCCTAGTTGTATTTCTTTGAGTGTGCCACACTGACCTTTTTGTCGGAAGTTATGAGTGTGATTTCTAATTGCTAACCTGGATTTCATTCAAATATATTTTTAAAATTATATATGTATTTTTGTTATATATTCTGTAATATTTATTTTTCCTCATGCTTTTTACATATCTTAACATTTCTTTCAATTTCAGCATCTGTTCTGCTAATAAATTACTCCAAAGCAGATAGTATCATTCTGGTTAAATTCATCTCTTTCAGACAACACGAAAGTCCTGTTGTCTATTCTAGTGTTTCATTCGGTGTAATGTATGGCAGTTATACTCTTATAAAAGGCTCCCTGCTCGGGTGGGTTTTTTTCTTCCCCTCCAGAAAACTAAGCTGTACCAATGATATTTTTCTGCATGTGGGCTTAGGCCCAAAAGGTTAACAGGTATGTCTGCACCAACAAACACTTTCAAGTAGGTACTTGGCTTCTGCTATTTTCTCCTCTCCTGTGGCACCTGACTAAGACGGAGGAGCAGCAAAAAGTGTGTGAAAAGATTTCCTTGTTCTCCACTCTGGGGTCCGAGTGCCAGGAACAGCAGTTACAAGAAGTCCCGCAGTGCTGGGCTGGATAATGCTCAGTGCAGAATATTCAGGATGATAACTTTCAACTAGCCAGTGAATATTGTATATGTGTGTGTGCGTATACATAGATATATATATATAGAAATATATCTGGCCTAATTTCAGCAACCTTGAGAAAAGCAGGCAAAGCTGCATCCCTCCCAAAAGTCGGATTAAAAATAAAGTCTCAAAAGAAATTTTAGTCCTTACCAGTAGAAATAGTTGGAACTTTCAGGAGAGTTGGTATTTGGGGTTTCTGGAATGAGAAACAATTCCTCTTACATGCTCTTTTTCTTCTCTTTAGGTGTTCTGTTGGAATATCCGTCGCACATTTATGGCGATTCTGAGAGTGAGGGCAGACTTCTGCCAGGCCCAGCACAGCACCCTGGCTGACAAGTGAGCTGGGTGCAGGGGGTTTACGTGCCATAATCACTTTGCCTTGAAGACTCCAGACACAGCGAACACTCTCAAATATATGGGATATCTTTTGCATATTGGAAGCATATTCCTTTTACTGACTCTAGCAAAACTAAGCAACAAGAAAACAAAGTGGAGAGAAAACCTGCCCTTATTTTTTTGCCTCACCAGTGCCTAAATGTAGAACAGGCTGCCTAGTCTTGCATGTAGTCAGAAGTTTTGGAGTCTGAAGGATACCACCTGCAGTAATCGAGGCCTAAGTTGAAGGCAAGCGGATTTTAAAGCAAAGCCGCTTTTCTAGAAGCGAAGTCTTTAAGGAACAAACACGGCAAAGCAAGCTCTGATCAATCCCAGGCATTCTAGTGGTCTTTTAAATGTTTTCTGCTGTGAAACGTTTCAGAAGTTACTGATTTTTTTTTTTGCCCCTTACACATTTTTTTTTGCCATTATGAACCGTCCAGCCCCAGTGGAAATTACCTATGAGAATATGCGTTTCCTGATCACTCACAACCCAACCAATGCAACCCTCAACAAGTTCACAGAGGTAAGGCAGTCAAAGAAGGATGATACTTTGTTTTCTTACATACTGAAACTTTCTGCAGAGATACTAAACACTCATTCTTCACACCTGTTGTTCACAGAGCTTTGAGTATATTTTACATGTTACTTTGGGCACTTTAGTAGATTGTTTGCATTCCACTGACACTATGGGAGGAGAATTCACTTCTTTCAAATCCTGTGTTTCTTCAAATGAGATAGAGATTCTGTTTTAGGATATAAAACCATCTTCTTTGTCCAGGTTTCTGAAGGACTGCATGTTCTGACCCTGACTGCTTTCTGATCTTTCTTGGCCTTTAGAGTAGGATTAATTGCAATGCTCAAAAACTGTTGTTGAACTCACAGAGAAATTTTCTCAAATTGTCCTCCCACCCCCAACATAGTCAGCTATTGGGTGCTAAAATTTGTTCATTAAAAACAACACCCCCTGGGTCTGAGTATGGGCAGAGAGCCAACGACAATGGGCTGTGCATCATACTGACACTAGGAGGTCTTAAATGCTGCAAAATTTTAATATTCAGTTTTCTGAAAAAGTAACAGATGGCATCATCAGAGAAATACTAGTACAGCTTGCTTCTGCATTCTACTTTGTTCCACATCTGCTGTATCTTTGTGCCTTAGTCTTAGTGTCCTTAGTCTATCCAGAGGACTTTTATCTTGCATGTGTAGGTCTTTTCATTCTGATAAGAGTCTGTCATCTGATCCTGATGTCTGTCTGCAGCTGCTGCGATTTCCATCATTTAGCAACATGCTCTTCACCATGAGTCCACTTTGATATGAATAGTTAATTTTGTCTGCAACTCACATTCTTTTGGTTTCTTTATTTATTTCTGTGTTACTATGGATTATCTCTCTCAAGACTCTTGAGAGTCTTGAGGCTGGAAGAGGTGTTACTGCTAACTGTTAAAGGTCAAGTGATCCAGCCCAAACAGGAGGGGAAATTGTTTGCTGTATGAACCTTCAAAGTGAACTGGAGCAGCTTTTGTTTGATCTCCTGATTATTTATCACGCACAATGTGCTACTTATAGTGCATTACAAGGAAGCTGGAGTATGGTGGTGTGTGTGTTCTGTTCCTCCCTGCCTCAAAATGTCAACACTGGCTGAAGCAAGCAGTTCCATGCTTCTATTTAAAGAGAGGAAGAAGCTGCATGGAGAGTATGAGCAGCTATTTTCATTTTGCTCTTTCATATATGCAGTTTTTCCCACTCTGGCCTTTCCCTAGAGAAGAATATTTCAGTTATTTCACATTTATTCTCACCACTTGTAACCCTTCTCCTAATGTAGGTCACACACGCTCTGTTCTGATTTGGCCCTTGCTCCTTCACTGTCTAGTCTCTGTGGAACTGTGGAATGATTGCAATATTGCTGACTCAGGATAGTGTGTTAAGTTTTGTAGCAATTGAAAAAAAAACTTTAATTTCTCACTCTGTCAGTGTCCTCACATGTTTTCCTTGTCCTTAAAGGAGCTGAAGAAGTACGGAGTGACAACCTTGGTGCGAGTTTGTGATGCCACTTATGATCAAGCTCCTATTGAAAAAGAAGGAATCCAGGTTCTAGTGAGTTACCTTTAAAAACTCTCTAAAACTTGAAGAAAATCACTGGTCTGCAAATGATGGAAGTGGCTTAATGTTTTAGGTTCAATAATGCCCTGATTTCTTTCAGATTGACCAAAAGCTGTGTGATTCCCTGCATCAGATAACGATGGCTTTGAGAAACTTGCTCCAATTTTGTGAAAAGTACTTTCAGATTCATTACTATGGACCAAACATTTCATTTAGAATAGAGACTTCTGCTCTTGGATGTCCGGATTTGCTCGGATAGTTTGGTTGCCTTTTAGGGAATGTGTTGGTACTAGTCCAGTGTGAATTTGCAGAACTTACAGCCTGTTCAGCCTCGTGGTCCATACAACTCGGTTCAGTTTATCCCTGGACGCAGCACTTGGCTTTACCACTGAGCCTCTTGGCGTGAAGATCAAACTCCCTTCTCTTAGTCCAAAGATGCCTTTTCTCTTTTGAGCCCAGGGCTGATAAGTGGGCAGGCTGCTTGTTTTGCATAAAGCCAAGACTTTTACTGCCTATTTGTAACAGAACAGCCGTAGCCTCCTCACCCCTGGCCTGTAAACACAGTGTAGCTGCTGCCGTCTTCCCTGCTCCGCAGGTGGAATTCCAGAACTGCTCCTCACCTCAGCGTTATGCAATGGCTGTCCGACTCCATCACCATCCAGTACTGCTCCATGTCTTAGGGGAGGGTTTTTTAATAGGTGTGTGCTCGTGTTAAGCTTGCAGGCAGTATTTTTCCAGGCAATACTTCTGAATTATTATAGCGTGTCAGATGTAATCAGTCTGTTTTACTGAGTGACTAATCTCTGCTGTGATGCCAGAAACTGCATCTTGCTGCCTTGTTGTAGGTAGTTGGTCTTCTATAACCTCCTGTTTTTTATGGCCCAGCTGGAGGAACACTTTTATGGTTCCTGTAAGGAGGAACACTTTTACTGTGGCCTATCTGTGGAGCTTCTACATCCAGATCAGTCAGATTTCCTGGCTCCCAGCCTTGCTAAGCACCTACTCCAGTTGTAGGCAACCAGGAGCGCCTCAGCATTGTTGGAAAATCCGTCATTCCAAGGCTTCCGGGCTCCTGGAGCTGCTGCTCTGGAATAGATTTATTTATTCAGTGTAGGAGCTGTTCTGGGACTGGGCAGCGTAAATGTTCTCAGACACGCTGCTGTGGAACCTCTAGCTTTAATAGTCCTAAAATTAGAGTAGGTGAGAGGAGGATTAGACTTCTGGTGTCTTAGATCTGCAGAAAAGTGTGGGGAAGCCCTGGCTTAAGCTGGAGCTTAGAGTATTTTTGTGTTTCTATGGTAGAGCAGAGACTTGAATCCTTCGTAGGAGCCTCAGGCCGGATTCCCAGGGCTCCACCTCTGCCGCAGCCCGGCCAGGGCCAACTGACCTTGGCATCCTGGCAAGCTGTGAGTGGCACTGGCAGGAATGTCATGGCCTGGTGCCCCGGGCAGGCAGGAGGCTCTGCTGGGAACAGCCTCCTCTGAAACAGGCGGGGGATTTTGCTTCTCAAGAAATGTTGAAAACTTGGTGGTAATAAGAACTGAACTGAAACCAGGTTTTGAGGAAGCTTTGCAAAGGCTGGAAGTGGTGTTTCAGCCAGCTGTGCTCGGGACCGTTCCGGTGGAGAGCCTTGCACTTGGAGTGACTTGTTTCTGTGTGCAGTTGTCACCACTGATCCCAGTCATTTTATTGCCTTCAAAATTCCCTGTAGCGCACTGGCATTTTGGTGTTTTAAGTCTACATAGTAATCAACATGCCCACCCCCTGCGTAGCTTTTCCTTCCTATTAATGCATGCATTTTCCCAAACGGCGTTCTGTTCTCTTCAGAAATGGTATTGAATTACCAGCTGGCTGAGAAAATAACACATCACTATTTAAAGCTAATATTTGCTTGTAAAAATAATGAAGATTAAATACACAGCCTCAGAGAGATCAGTGTCTATTTTAAAACTGTTGAGGTCAAAAGCCTGGTAAAACCCCTGAAACTGAGAGCGTTTTAGCAAAGCCTCCTTTCACGCCATGATGCAAAATAATATACTGGCTGGGTGGGTAGTGTGGCAGCTAGAGAGTTGTGTTGGCAGATGGCGTAGTGAGAAACCAGAGAATGAGATGTACCGTGTTTGAAGTAGTAGTACTGCATACGCGTGTTTATCAACAGGGATTAAATGAGGGAGGCGGGAGGTGGAGATGGATTTCGTTTCTGTGGGATTCTGCACAGTTCTCACAGTTCAGTTCCTGGGGAAGGTCTTGTCTGCGTAGGAATGTTGCACCAGAAAAGCTGCCGTTGATTTTCCTTGAAACGTTTTTGCCCTGACTGGTGAGCAAAGGGCTGCCGTGGGTTTGTTTGCCTTAAGGATCTAAGGCACATTTCACTATTCTACTCGTCAGCTTTTTCTTCACGGTTCATACATGCATCAGGCATCTTCCCTGCTGACTTAGCAGCATGGCCACAGCTTCACCCACGTTGGGGACGTGGCCTCGCCGCACCTGACACTTGTTGTGCAACCACGGGCTCTGGGACGTGGAGGTGGGAAAGCTCCACACTGGTGGCAACAGTCTCCTCCCGTGCAGGCTCTGGCTGCTGGGCTAGGAGTATTTTGCCACTGTAGCTGGGCTTCCGCGTGAGCTCATGGAGATTTTGAAGGACAGGATCTTTGTCCCCTTCGTTCTGGTGCTGCTTCGTGGTCATCTGGGTCCTGCATCGCTAATCCTGCTGCGGGGGCTGGAGGACAAACCCCGAGCTCTTCTCTTAAGCAGTGCTGCTCTAATTAAAGCGTAAATAAGAATAATCCTTTCTTGTGTATCGTCCTTTTCAGCTCCTGGAGGGTGGCACAAAGGAGATGCTTTCTGTTTGTGCAAGCTGGGTGCATCACTCTGGTTTTTAATGACTGTTTTGCTCTTGGATCTTAGCAATTTGTTTTCTGTGCTGCCTGACAGGAATTCTGAGGTGCTGCTGACAGAGCTTGTAAGCAGGAGAAAAACTGCAAAACTTTGCTGCAATTACTTCTCTATTCCCCAAATTATTCTTGTATCGCATTCTGGGCAGTATCCCATACACCACTGTTTTATCAGCCCTGATTTAATGTCAGTAGTTTATCAGTAATGATAAAGTGATGCTCTTTGGGGAAATAAGGGCTGTCACCGATTCCAGCCAGCACAGGAGTTGTGGGGACATGATGGGTAATGTGCAAGCTAAAGTAACTCAGTAACCTTGTGTATGTGGGGGCTGAAGGAAATTACTGCAATCTAATTTAAACTAAGATGTAGCAGCGATATGCGAGTTCTTTGCAATAGGCAGTGCCTGATCTCCTGACAGTCCATACGTCTTTCCCTGACAGTGGAAGACACTGGTACTAAATTAATATAGTTAGCAATGTAAATCAAATCATTCAATCACGTAAAGACTTACATTAGAAGCACAATTTTTCTCTTACAACCTTGTTTCCATAGCCTTTTATTTTGCTGTTCTGTCTCAAATATTTTTAATTTCCATTTTCTTTAAAAAGGTGTTCTCTGTGCCTGTTCGGTTCAGACTTTGTGTCTGGATTAATCATAAAGTTATTTAGTATTTGAAGCTTTTTGGTTTTGTAGTTCTGTGATGTGGATTTGCACCTTGCAAGATTGCAACTGCTAACACATTCAGAAGGTGCATTTTAGCTGAGATCTTTTGTATGAACCCATGCTTGCTCCACAGGAAGTGTCAGGGTAGCAGTAAATGTATTTCAAAATGGAAAGTCTAGTGTTTTTCTCACCTTCCTTTGGCTTGTTGGGTTTCTGCAGGCTCTCTTAGGCTTCAGAAAATATCACCTCCTATTACCTGTCCCCAAGATGGTAATTGAAAAGCACAGTGCCAGCCAGAGACAGAGAGGACTCTTCTCAGAGCAGCTTCTTACCATTTGGAGAGGTGGTTGAATAATATGAAAATCTGGCTGTAAATCTCTTTTGTAACATGCACCGCAGTCCACTAATGACAAGTGCTAAATAGCGAGGGATCATTTTTCCCCTTGCATCTAGGAGTGCTCTTTCTGCAGCACTCCCTGTTTCTGAGAAGAGTATGAAACATGTGACACGTTAGACTTGGATATAATTTTAGGACACATAGTACTCCACTTAGCACACATTCCAGGAGGGAGCTGTGGCCTAGAGAAAATGGGAAGCTCCTCACATGTGATTTTGATTTCCAGCCACGTTGGTGATATTTAGTGTGGCATAAGTAGCTTAAATATTGGCAACCCCTTTTATAGGCAGAAATGGAGTAAGAAATTCTGTTTGGTTGTTGCTTTTGCCTACGTAGTGTTTTTTTTTTTCTTTTTTCTTTTTTCTTTTTTTTTTTTTTGCTTATGAATGTTTTTAACTGGAAAATACCTTAGTGGCTGTGACACAACCACAGGCAAAAATCTACAGAGTTCCCATCTCAAGTATTTAATTGAAATGTCTATTGATTTTTATGTTGTTTTGAATAAAATGAGATTTCAAAGGCAGTTGGTCTTCTTAAAATTCTTCCAAAAAAACTAATTAACTGGTTGTTAAAAATGCAGTGTCACTGTATGATATTGATGTGCAAACTTGTATACATCTAGTAAACTGCACACTAAACTTCTTGGCTGAATAAATATCTTCCTTCTCTTAAATATGATTACCTTGCTGTTGATCACAGATTAAAATCTGTGTGTCAGCATCTGCTTCAGGGAAATTTACACGCAGTGTCTTTTTTCCCTCCCAAGGACTGGCCGTTTGATGATGGAGCACCACCCCCGAATCAGATAGTTGATGACTGGCTAAACCTGTTGAAAAGCAAATTCCGTGAGGAGCCTGGATGCTGCATTGCTGTTCACTGCGTGGCAGGGTTGGGAAGGTCAGTATCTGCTTTTTGCTGCTGTTCTCGCGCCCGTTCTGGCAAAAGGGAGAAAAAAATCCAGATTTTGCTTTAATCTGGGTAACTGTCTACCTTTAGTAGGTGATTAAACCTCAGCTATAGAAAGCAGAGACAGCTTTAGGGGGGGAAAAGTGCTTAGTGCTTCTGAGGTTTCAGATTTTTTCCTCTGGAAAGCAATTTCTTGTGTTTATGCAGTTGCTGCACTGCAGTGATAGTGTGGGTTGTTTCTCCTAATTCCTGACCCGTTTCTAGTTGAGCTATGAGCACAAGTTATCCAAAAGTCTTTGCAACTCTGCGCTCAGGGGTGCTGGTGGCAACTGTGGGTGTTTGATAGAAAGTTCAGTCCAATGGAAAATGATCTCCTGTGGTTTCAGCTCATTTGAAGAGCTAATTCTTGACACTTACCTGATGTCCAAAGTGAGGACCTCAAAATAGAAAGCTTTATTGCCCTGGGAGTTCTTTGATTCTGTTCATAGCACGCAGCAAAGAAGATTAATCTACAGAAGTCATCTGTTAAATGCTATATAGACCTACGTCATTACTAAATCTATAGTGTTGTAGGAAACGAAATGCATTACAAAACTACTATAGACTTTCTTTGAGCAAAGCAGAAATTTAGGCCATAGAGAAATAAGAAAATTCTGCAATTACTGTTTCATGCCAAGCATTAAGGAGCTGTTGTTTTGGGGTTTGTAGGTGTGTGGTGGAAGCAGAACTGTTGAAAGGGATTCTGCATTGAATACTCAGCGAGCAATTGAGCAATAGTTTTCTTATAGATAACGTTTAAAGAGAAGACACTTATATTTGTTTATAGATTAATTTTGATGTATTTTGAGAGATTCAATGTATTGGTTCTCCAGATCTTGCTTAAATATTGATTTGTCATTTAGGGCTCCTGTTCTGGTTGCACTTGCTCTCATTGAATGTGGAATGAAGTACGAAGATGCAGTTCAGTTTATAAGACAGTAAGTTAAATACAACAATTTACAAGAAATTTCCTGGTTAATATATCAAGCCATTGGACATTCCAGTTTTTCCTTTCCTAAATGCCTTTTTTCCTTCTAGGTGCTCTAACTTTCATTTGTACTGAATTCTTTGAGTACCATATATATATATATATTTTTATTTAACTGTCATGATTTTACTTAGCTGATATGTGAAGTAACCTTTAAGGGAAGGTTAACCCTGTCGTTGCTGAGGGAGTATTGCTGGTTTTGGAAACAAACTCTCCCAACCCAAGAAAATATGCTGAAACTTGGTAGCTTGATTTGGGTTTAACATTGGCTCTTAGGCAATGAGCTGGCTAGTCTGGTTTATCCTTCCTCAAACTGGATAAAGAACCAAGCCAAAATACCACTGTGTGGGTATGGGAAAGATTTGAAGCAAAATAACCGGTCTGCTTTAAGATATACATGGTGCTTGAAGCAGTACTTTTGATATTGGCCTTTATTCTGTTTGTTTTAGGAAAAGGAGGGGAGCTTTCAATTCCAAACAGCTGCTTTACCTTGAGAAATACCGACCTAAGATGCGATTACGCTTCAAAGATGCCAACGGTCACTGCTGTGTTCAGTAGAAAGAAATACTAAGCGAAGGCAGAAGTTTATCATAGCTGTTTTCTGGACTCTTGGCACCTGGAAATGTGAATCTGGAATCAAACTACGTCATCAAATGAGTGGTGGAGTCAGTGCTCCTCAACCTCTGTCCTAATGGTGGTGATGATTTAAAAAATAAAAAAAAAAATAAAAAAAGGAGAAACATTTCAGTGAAGGATTATTTTCTCCTCACGCTGCAGTTTGAACATCTGCAAGGAGAAAATCACTTTCAGAACCTTCTGTATTTTTAACTTTAAAAAAAATAAAGTAAATTTTATGTCTAAGGAAAACCAGCAGAGCATTGGCTTGTGCAGAAGCTGTTTTCTTGATTTGAGGAAAGTGCCCCTCAGTTAGGTCCTGACACCTTAATTCCCACGAGACTCTTTTAAATGGATTTTTTTTCCTCCTTCCTTTTTTTCCTTCCTTGCTGAGGGCTGGCAGGTGGAAACGAGGAGCTTTGATGCTGTGCGAGGGGTCTGGCACCTCGAGCCCATCCGGGCTGCAATCCTGGCGCTTTGGAGGTGTTTGTGCTCCGTGTCCGCAGCCCGGCCGGGCTCTGCAGGTGTGAGGATCTTCCAGGGGGGATTGGGCAGAAGCCCCTGTGTCTGTTGGACCTGCTAACGGCCTTTGCTGAGGGTTGGGACGTGGTGTTTTAAACTGTGCGTGTGTGTTTATATGAATGAATGTGTGTGCCTGTGCTTCTGTGTGCGTCCAAGTCATATTTCTCCAAAGAATTTGGCTGCAATGTTAATTGTCTCTCTGTTTTTAGATAGAAAATCTATTCTGGCAGAAGACTGATGTTCAAAGTGTCATAGGTGACCAAGGAGGGGTTCAGGCAAAGACTTAAAATAACTTATCTGTCATAAGGAAAGGAAAAAAGGTTTTTTGCTGCTGTCCACATCCTCTGCCTTACGGAACACAGTGAATCAGGACTTGGAGGGAGGGACTCCTTCCTGCCGTGTCCGAGGCTCAGCTAGTGCACACACGTGTGCTCCATGGGTACAGATTCCCAACGGGAGCATCTCCCCAGCCTGGCTTCCACTTGCAGTTTGTTTTAACCACCGTTTGCCTTGTTGTTTTTCCTTAGGGCTCTCTGCTCGCCCAGCAGCAGGCCCGTGTGCGTGGGCAGGGAGCTCACGGGGGTAAAACCCAGCTGGTTTCCACCCTCCAGGGGCTGCACAGGGCCAGCTCTGTCCTCGCCGCGTTAATCAACAATTTTGGAGCCTCCAAGAAGCAGCTGGAGCCAGGCTACCTAACCAAACACAGGTTGACTTAGCGCCCTGCCCCGTGAGCGACCTCACACGCTTCCAATCTGACGGTAGGTCTGTAATACTCAGCACAGGGTTCAGCTCTTGCCCTCCCCTGCTCTTGCACTGTGGAGCCAAAGGGTTTTGTTTGGTACCGTCTCACCGATACCTCCCGGGCTGGCGATGGGATCTTCCCCCCGCGGGACTCCTGCCTCTTGTAGCGCTGTGTTCTTCATTTGTACCTGCACAAACACTTCGGAAAACAAGGAATGGGCTTTTGTAATCTTACTCCTAGAAAGGAATTTATAATTTTTAGCCAAAAGATAGTGGTACTTGTCAAGCCCCCTGCTTTATGGATGCGCCAACAGGCCTGCGTGTAGGCTAGAAAACCCTGCACCTTGCAAAGCTTGGTCCTGTTCCTTGACTCCAGTTTTGTTGTTGTAATGAGTTCCTTCCTCCCTGTGTAATGTTCCTGATTTCTTTAATAGATAAAGGAAATGCAAAAGTGTCTTTGTCAATGCCTATATTAGGGAGTAACATATCTGGTAATGTTGGATTCCATGTGGAAAGTAAATGATGCTGGAAGTACCTAATTCTGGCCTTTGCCTTCCCCTCACAAACTAGAAACCAATGTTCTAACTGTTTCTGCACATTAAAATCGTTGATGTTTTTAATAAAACGATATACTGGTAGTTAAAGCAGGTTTGACAAATGCCAGCTGTTGGGTTGGAGAGATAGGTGTTGAGCTGGATTATAAACCAAAACCCAAGCCCTTTTGAGAACAATAAAAGATATTTTACATGCTATATGTATAATTTTGCCTTTTTCCCCCTAGTTTCACTCTGATTTATAACGTATTCTTTACTGTGTATGTCCTTGGCACTCTTAACTGAGGAAAAAATAATGGGAGGCCCCTTGATTCAGGCTGTGGTTTGGCGTAGGCGCAAACGAGGGAGCTTCGTTATGAGCAGTGTCCGACATCCCAGCGGGTGCAATATTCAGCACTTGGACACGGTGCAATAAAGGTTTGCAGTGAAATGTCTCTTCCCTCTGGCTCTTGATGAATTTATTGCTGTTCATTAATATTAAGCACCGCTCTTTGATCTCAAAAGGCTTTTGGACAATTCTGTTCGTGCCCCTTGTGTTACTAATCACCATGTGCTGCTACGTGGCTTGGATTGCTGGTGGCTTCCTAACTGCTGGGAAAGGGGGAGTCTAGCTATAGAGAAGAGCAAGCAACGCTGCTTTCTTCTGATCAAATTATCTGTTAATACAAGTAAATATGTGTAAAACAAACAAGAAGGCTCCGGCAACTTTCCTGAGAAGTGCAAAGGATCTGGTGCAAAACTTGCTGTTGTGGCCTGGACCAGACTGGACCCTGTGCCACCTGGCAGGGCTTGAATGGGGCTTTTGTCTGGTGACAACAATGAGGGGCTTTCTGCAGTCCTGGATCCCTGTCCCTTCCCCGCTGTGAGCAGGGCAATGCTGTGGAATAGATATGTATAATTTCCTTGAGTAATACCACAGTGGTACTTTCCAGGCTTAATTGCAAATGAGATGTTCTTGTGTGATAGGAGCTTCCTGTCCCTTGTTAATTTTCTTTTTTTTTTCCCAACTTCTGACTTCAGATACTGAGGCTTCCGTTAGCTGGAGATATCACTTATCGCATGCGTGTTTATATCACCCAAGATGCTGCTTTTGAAGTAATTAGGAAGGATATGCGAAGTGGAGGGGCTGCATGGGTAGAGAGAATGCAGGAGTCATGGATTGCCCTGCTGCTATAGGGTATGCCCTGTTAACTAAGTATTTATAAATCATTTAATTTAGTGCCAACACTTGCAAATTGATCCCAGGGGTGGTCTTAAGAGAGCGCTTTAAGGATGTGTTTCCTGGGGGACGAGGAGAGGAGCCTTTTGTCCATAAGTGGATTTTGAAGTCAAATGTCAAGGTTTCTCTCAAATCTGTTGCCTCTCGGGTCTGTGCAGGTGCAAGACGTTCCTTTCCGTGCTGCAGGCGGCTGCTTCCTTCGCCCTGTGCCGCCCGGACGGAGGTGTCAGGGCGTTTGCTGCGTTGCAGGGAGCACAGGTAGGAAGCTGGGATGTAAAGGAGCCCCTCGGCTCTCCTGCAGGAATGGAAGTGTCGAGGAGTCCTTCCTAGAACTGGATTTACTCCGGTGACAGCCCCAGCAGAGGTGTAACCGGTCGCGTGTTTCGCACCGTGTGGAATCCCGTTGCTTTCAGGCTGTCTGAGAGCCCCACAGGTACCGGTTTCCTTGGTAGACGTATGTTAAATACTTAAAATACCATTTTGGAATAAAAACCTCAAACAAAGGCATGGAATTAAACCCTCAGCGCTTCCATCGTTGCGACCCCCTGTCCCACGAGCGCGTTGTGGCTGCAGATGCTGAGGGCTGGGGTGGGAACCAGGCGTCTCCCGTGCGTCTCCTTGGAACACCGAGCGGGTCCCCGGATCAGGGACCGGGAAGAGCTCCCGTGAGCCCGGCATATGCTGGGTTGGCCTCGTGGAGAAGCCCTTTGGGGGCGGTTTTGAGGCTGCTGGAGAAGCTGCTCTACTCCGGCAGTGGCTGCAGGACAGCTGGGATTTGAGGTGGCTCCGTCTGTGCCGTTCCTCCCAGGGCTTAACTCCAGATGGAGACAAATGAGGGACCCGGAGAGCCATGGCCAGAGGGAAATCCCTGCTGCAGACCCGTGGGGGCATTAGAAGAGCCCAAGGCGGGGAAACAGGTAAGAAATCGCTCTGTGCCCAGTTTGGGAAGCTGGACGGGGAGCGGGAATGCGGCGGGAAGGCCCGGCCAAGGGAATCCTGCGCGTTATCTTCGGCAAGGCCGCGCGCGCGGAGCCTGTGACCTCCCTGGACTCCCGTTTTGTTTCTGCTTTGTGCTGTCCTTGCTGTTGTTATCCCCAAGGCTGCTGCCCGGCTGGCACGGGCTTGCCGAGCTGCTTATTCCGATTGATCGGAATCGATGCTTTGGGGTTCCTTCTGCCGCAGATAACGCTACGTACAGCGCAGTCCAACTCTTGCGTTGCTTTATTTCTATTATTTATACGATCAATTTTCAGCAGTCAAAGGGAAGAGGACATTCTTGCACAGAATATAAATGGCTTTAGGGCTGAAATAAGAATTTTTCCTGGGAAAAAAGAGCAGCAGAGCCCATCAGGAGGCCCCAAACGGGGCTGGGAGATGTGTTTGAAATAGCAGCTTGTTGACGCCTGCTCCTTGCTGCTGCCCAGCCCTGCAAGCTGGGGCCCTGGGTAGAAAAGCAAAGTACTCGGAATCCAGGGAAGCCTCCTGCTTTTGGCTGAAAACTGATGGAATCAATGCGTCCGCAGAAAGCTCCAATTTGGGCACTTTAGCATTTAGCAGGAGGGAGCCTCTGTTCTTCTGGAAAGCCTTGGCCGGTTCTAACAGTGATACCTGCTCGTTGCCGCTGCTGCTGAGGGCAGCGAGGAGGCTCAGGGGGCTCCTGGCATCAGCTCGGGCACAGGAGAGGGGGGATGCGGATGGGATGGACCCCCCGGAGCGGCTCCAGAAAGAAATCTGGAGGCAGAGCTAGAAAAATGCACAATTTGACGCTATTTGGTCTCTCTGTTCATGGCTGCTTCTCTGGCTCCAGCCTGCCTGGTTGCACTGCAGCTACGTGGGACAGGGCTCCTCCGAGCACAATTCCCGTTTGTCTTCGTGGCCTCTTTGCAAGGGGGCCTCCAAGCCCGCCCTGACCTCGCAGCCGCCGAGTGGGGCGAGAAAAAACAATTCCAGTAAAAAAGAAAGGAACGTCGTCAAGGAAACGCGGCGTCCCCTGCAGCCAGCGAGGCACCGAGAGGCTCTGCACGGCCCCGCTCCGCTCCTGCTCCCGTTCCTTGGCCGAGGATCCTGCCTT